GGTATCATTCGACGTGACAGCATTATATATCTCCATTGGACAAAAACTAGCAAAAGAAACCATGGAGCAATTACTTATCAACGATGAACAACTTCCACAACAATCAAAAATGCAACATACAAGATGGATGGAATGCATAAATCTATGCCTAACAACATACTTCCAATTCAACGGCCAAATATATGAACAAGTCAAAGGAACACCCAAGGGATCGCCAATATCAGGTTTGATTGCAGAAGCAGTGATGCAAAGACTCGAAAATATAATTCTACCAAAGATCAAACCCAAGGTTTGGATACGCTACGTCGACGACACATTTGTAATCATCAAAAGAAACGAATTAGATAAAACTCACAACTTAATAAACAACGTCTTCAACGACATCAAATTCACAAGAGAAGAGGAATCCGAGAACAAAATACCATTTTTGGACGTCTTAGTCAGGCGAACAACTACAGGAGAATTAGAAACTCAAGTTTATAGAAAATCAACTCACACAGACCAAATACTGAATTACAACAGCAACAACCCAATAGCACACAAAAGGAGTTGCATACAAACACTATTCAAGAGGGCAAGGACTCACTGCAGCACTCCCACCTTAAGAAAAATTGAAGAAAAGTATCTCATGGACGTCTTCCAAAAGAATGGATATCCACGGAATTTCATCAAGAGACATATACCCCCAAGCCAACCTACCAAAGCAAAAGCCACCAAGGAGAACACAAAGAAAATCGCCTTACCATACATAAAGGATATCTCAGAAATCACTACAAGACTCTTCAAACCTTTAGGAATTGACGTCGTACACAAACCAACAAAGTCGCTTCACTCAATTCTATGTCAACCAAAAGACTCAACAGCGAAAGAAGATAAAACCAACATCATCTACAAAATAAACTGTAACAACTGCGAAAAACACTACATTGGCCAAAGTGGACGTCCCCTTCGTCTTCGTATCCACGAACATAAGCTAGCCGTCAAAAGACATGACATCCACTCCCTCATTTCACTACACACAGACAACCACGGACATCAATTCGACTGGGACAACGTTCAAATATTAGACAAAGGAAACAACAAGAATGCTAGAGAATTTTTAGAAGCTTGGCATTCCAGTGAATCATCAATCAATAGACATATCGAGATAGACAAAATTTATCAATCGATAAGAAAGAAACTTCACACAAAAAGGATCAAAGTTCGAGTCAACGAAACAATCAGTTCCAATACAAGTAGCCTAGAAGGTGTGAAAACACACATAAACAACCAATCACGTCCAAGGTCACCAGGAGAGATGACTAATAAACTCGTGGAGAAATCTAAAAGCTCACTTCAAATTGAAGTATGCGCTGAAGATGTCACCCAGTAGGGTGATGAAAGCTTCGCAAATTAACCATCCAGCTAAGAGAACAAAACCACATCAAAATTAGCTAAAGTCCGTTTGAAGAGGACCACTGACTAATTTCCGACAGAAAGTTATTTAATTTGAAACAATCTAACTGAGAGTTGACAGGCATAGAAACAGAGAGGTCATCGGCATACTTAACAAAAGTGGCTACATCAGAATGAGGCAAGTCATGTAAGAAGAACGAAAACGGAAAGGGAGAAAGAACTGCACCAGCTGAGGAACACCAGCTAAAGTAAGTGAGGTAGTGGAGGACTTTCCATTGTAGACAGTGTACTGCTTCCTATCAGAAAAATAGGAATGCAACCATTTATTTATCTAGATCTCAGCATGTGTTGCAGCAAGCTTACTTAGCAAGAGAGACCTGAGAACAGAGTCAAATGCAGATGTGTAATCAAGAAAGGCACAGCGAATGTATTTAGCTCCTTTATTTAAACTAGAGACTATACTATGATGTAGGACAACAGCAGCATCTAACGTACACCTACTCTGTTTATAAGCAAACTGGTTGGGGTCATTGAAAGGCTTTAAAGAGAGAGGGTTCAAGATTAAGTAAAATCCAAATCTTTTTCTTGATGGTGAGGTGTTTTTTTCGGAAGATTTACAAACTGCTATGAGGTTTACTGGAGGTGTGTCTTGCCTTGACTGGCTTCGACATCTTCATCCGTTCTGGCTGTGGTTGAAACTGCGGTTCCTAGATAAGTGAAGGAGGCAATCTCTGTGAAATCTGTCGAAATGACGTTGATCGGTGCTGGCTGTTGTTGTTGTTGCTGTTGGTTGTTGGCTATCTTCGTCAACTCCGTCTCTGTTTTTTCTATGTGTGCCTGAAGATTGTAACAACAGAAGACAAGGGCCAGGCAACAGATCGTTTTATTATGAAAATCAACACGTATTTATACATATTTCAACTACATTATTATAGACAAGCGCAGTCATCTGATTGGTTGTTTATCAGAAGTTAGGTAGACAAACGCAGGCTTCTGATTGGTTGTTTCGTGATTCCTTGACAAATAGAGTTCTCTATCTGCGAATCATATTTTGCCACGTTAACTTTGCTGTGATTGGTTGTTGACTCAGCCTTGTTCATATTTTCTCACGGCCTGCTCTCACCACACTCGTCCCCCGTCAAATACGTGCGACTGAAGTCGGCTTGATCTACTTGGTGCAGGCGTCATCGTTGGCTTGTCTCGCTGTATCCATTTCTGGAGCTCGCTGACGTTCACGCGCCTCTCATTGTTCGTCATTGCGATTGTGTCCGCGTAATCCCATCTCGAAGTGACCATATGTGGTCCTTCCCACTTTGGAAACTGTTTGCCTGACCCTGTCGAACATTCGTCAGTATTTCGTCTCACACTTTCATATGCTGCTTTCACCCGACCTCCCAGCAGCGTCCCAAGTAGCAGCTCCATCGCTGACAGATCTTGAACGCCACTCAACTGAGCAGAAGCCTTGAAGTCCTGCCCGAAGATCCATATGTCTCCAACAAAAACAGCAGGGCATAGGCTTTCCATTTGTCGGTAGGCAGCGACACCAAATGTAACAACAGAAGACAAGGGCCAGGCAACAGATCGTTTTATTATGAAAATCAACACGTATTTATACATATTTCAACTACATTATTATAGACAAGCGCAGTCATCTGATTGGTTGTTTAGGTAGACAAACGCAGGCTTCTGATTGGTTGTTTCGTGATTCCTTGACAAATAGAGTTCTCTATCTGCGAATCATATTTTGCCACGTTAACTTTGCTGTGATTGGTTGTTGACTCAGCCTTGTTCATATTTTCTCACGGCCCATATTAGTGACCTAGACCTTAACGTAGATTAGTGCCAACCAATCGGCTAGCAGCCTGCTCTCACCACACTATCATGTTTCTTTTACCAGTTGACTGGTTGCTGCCTGCCTGCAAGTCTTTCATTTTGTGTGACATTAAACCTTAGTCATCGACACACGAAATTCATATTTTCTAGAGTCGCGTAATCGGTTAGTGCAACGTATCCTTGTCTTTTCATTCCTATCCACAGTCTGACGTATAATCCAGTCCAGCACAAATTATGGAATATTATCGGTTACAATAAGCAGGGCTGTCTTGTCTTAGTCCTTTATGGACTTCATACACTTTGCTCACTTTTCCACGATGAATTACTTGACATCAGTCATCCTCATGATAAAGATTTGAGCACTGCACTGCATAATGTTACTTCTTGGTCAATACTCTCTATCGAAGGTGTTTTCGAAGTCGATGAAATTGTAGCAGAGAGACAGAGAGGTTTGACTGCTATTCTCTGCCATGTTCTGTGATAATCCTTATATGTTTAGCCTTTCCTAAATCCAAGTATATTTATTGCCAATTTAGTATCCTTTTTCTGTATTATTTTTATCGCTGAGCAAAACTTTGCTTTCTGATGAATTGTTTTGCATCAATATTCCATTGGTAGACTGACATTTGTGTGGATTTATAGAATCTAAGATATGGTTCCCAACATGTCTTGAAGTAATTGTGTCTACAGGATAAAGTGTTCAGAATATGAAGCTTGCTCGCTAGATAGGGAAGAGCAGTAGACAGATGAAGCTCATAGTGAATGAACATAGACTATGCACGAAACGTCCCCGCCTAGGAATGAAGAAGAATTCAAAAGTCTAAATAAATGATTGGCTATAGCAATGCATGGGCTATAGACAGTTGGCATAAGATTGATTTCGACAATGTCAAAATTCTAGGAAGAGGCTTTCGTCGACACAAAGAAGGGCCTACCTCTGAAGCCTTGCACATTCTAACTACATCAAATGCGGTAAATAGGAAAGAAGGGATAGACTTATCACCTATATGAGGGACTCTCTCTAAAGGAGCGAAACAGATGAGAAGGAAAACAGAATTCAATCCTAAATTATAACCACTGTAAAATATTTTTATGGTTTGACGTGTTTCCCATTCAACGAACAACATACACACACACACTCATCCAGGAAAATATACACATTATTATTAACTTTAATTCCTAGAGGAACATAAGGCTTCAGCCAAGCACGTCTCCATTGCGTTCGGTTCTCTGAGAAAGTTTTCACCTGGCTCCACCTCTGCCCACATGCTTTCATCTCCTCTTCACATCACCTCCCCCAAGTCACCCTCGCACTGACGACCGACTCACCGCTTCCCTTTCAGGTTTCATTAGAGCCATGGCTTGTCTAGTGATGTCACTTGATGGTTTCTTCGGAGTATGGCCAATCCAACTACCTCCATTTCTACCTGCTTATTTGTTGCATAATCGGTTCCTGCTGTGTTGGTTTGCTCATTGCCAGAGATTCCTACCGCTGATCCTTCCTCGTCAGCCATCTGATCGTGATTACTGAGCGAAGACAGATGTTGATAAAGGTCTGTAGTTTGTTTAAGATTCTCTTTATAACTCGCCAAGTCTCTGATCCGTATAGTAAGTAGCTCTGATTTCACATTGGAGTTAGAAATCCGGATCTTATTTTCATTTTCATGCTGAGTGCTGTTGACCTCCACACAGACTTGAGAGTTAATTTATAGAATCTAATCTTTTATTTTCATTTAACTAACTTCTCATCATTTCTTTCCCGGATTCCACAGGTATTTAAAAAACGCTTGGAACTTAAAGGAGTGAAAATGAATGAGAAAGCACCTAAGCAAACTAGTCTTAAATCTAGTCGGCCTAAAGTGAATCATCACACGAATGCATTGAACAATTCAAATGCAAACAACACTAGGCATAATTTAACACGAAACTTTACAACTTCATTTATGAATAAACGGAAATACAGTAAAGCTAACGCAGATCATTTAATCCCCACAAAAAGTAGGAGTGTTTCACAAATTTTCACAGATTCAAATAAACCTCTAGATTTATCACCATCTTTACAAACAACAAAATCCTATCATTGTCAATCATATAAAGGGAATGAAATACACTCATGTGATGAACAACCTTCTACACTAGAAACACTACAACAATATGAAGTAGGTCAACAACAAAACGATCATTCACAAGAAGAAGGTGTTGAACCACATCAGCAACAACAACAACAATTACCGCCGGATAGTGAGTCGAAGAAATCGAATACCATCATTACACCAAATAATAATAATAATAACAATGTGAATCATCAAAAGAAACCCTTTAAAGCCTTAATCAATAAATTAACCTCTTCAGATAGTACACAATCATTTCACCAAATTGTGATATAAATCATGTGAGTACTACTACTCCTACGACTGCTGCTGCTGCTAGTAGTGAAGATAGATCTCGACGTTCACTCAAGGCAATCCGAGATAATATTGCCTTTCAAAATTTAAAAACAGCTGCTATGCTATTTGTTGTCGCTGTTGTCTATATTGTAACCTTTATCCCAGCTATGCTAATGGCTATTCAATGTATTCCATTATATTTGCCTATTTTCTATTTATATTATATTAATAATGCTATTAATCCTATAATTTATGGTTTTATGAATCAAAATTTTCGTAATGATATACGCGTGTTGATTTGTCAGCGGCTGAAATGTTTAAATTTTTAGCCAGTCAGGCAGTCATCTTCCTTTATGAATCAAATGACACAATGAACATCTTCAATATGGATCAACTTTAGTTTTCTTAACAGTTGTCTGCAAAACACAATTTTTACAAAAGTCTGTAAATATATATATTGTCATTGTTTTGTTGTGTTTCAAAGAGTATTTTGTGCATTCGTTTACTTGTCACTGTCTTTATTTTCAAAGAATTACTACTATTATTACATGAAGACAAGATACACAGTCAAAATATGCCGGTAAACATTTTTGCCATGATATATATAACCACTTTGTCATCCTTTTTAAAGTCAATCCTATTGTATGCTTGAAGAATCTGTTGCATAACTTGTACACTGTTCTGTTCTTTTCTTTGGTTATTTTCCTTTTCGTTTTCTTCTTGTGTTTTTTTCAAAGTCATCCAATGTTTTTTGTATAAATTGCATATTCTACTTATTGATGCTGAATATATTTGTGCGTGTGTGTATGTGTGTTCGTATATTAGTTGGCAGAAGTGAAAAAAAGGATACTTGCTGGCCTTATTAGTGATAAGCTGACGCATATAAAAGGGATGCAACAGCGGTTGAATCTCGAACCTAAGTTGGTAGACTGTCGGACAAGTAGTCATTTGATTGGACACACTAGTCGGTGACTAGTGTAATGTGTCTAGTCAGCCAGTGTATAGTAAGTGAGCGCCAATCACTCAAAAAGCCGTATCTGTAACCTTGAAGGAAGGAAGTTATGTCCCTTCTGAGATTTGAACACATGTTATCCAGTGTTATGGACCAACGTGAAGAACCTAGAAGACCTGGATTTCGCGCGTGGATGATTTATGTTTGATGTCACACAAAATCGATGACTTACAAGCGAAAACCGACAAACTGGTCGAAGAAGCATCCATTGAAGATAGGACTTCAGGCGAACATAGACAAGACGGAGGTTATGAAAATAATCAACCAACCGACAACAGCAACAACAGCAACATCCAGCGTCAATTACCATCAACGGGAGGAATATGAGAGACGTTACTTCATCCACTTATCCAGGAAGCATTGTCTCAACCACAGGCAGTCGGAACGGACGAGGATGTCGAATCGAGTGAGAATCGGGAAGGCGAGAAACACATTCATCAACCTGAAACCAATCTGGGAATATTCGTCACTCAACATCAACAAAAGAATACGAATTTTCAATACAAACAACGTCAAGTCAGTCAGTTATTCTATACGGATCAGAAACTTGGCGGGTGGGTCGCAAAGAATATTTCCAACAGCCTGTTGCAGACCTTTATCAACAACTAACTGTCTTCGCTCTATGCTGAAGATCAGATGACCGGAATCACCAGAATCACCAACAAGAAACTATGGGAACAAACAGACAAAACAAGAACCAATCGCCCAACAAATATGCAGGAGGGAGAAAGTGGAGATGGATTGGACACTCGCTGAGGAGACCACTGGGTGACATCGTGCGCGCGTCAGGCCATCACTCGAGTAGAACCCGAAAGGGAAGCGGCGAGTGGGACGTCAGTACATGGGTGACATGGAGGAGATCATGTGAAGAGGAGTTGGAATAATATGGACTAACATGGATGGAGGTGAAAAGTACAACAAAGGACATAAGCAAGTGGAGGCGTGCAGTTGAAGCCCTATGTTCCACCAGGAACCGAAGGAAAAAATAATAATAATATCCAGTGTTACGGTCGCAAAACATTACCACTGAGCGGCTATTTCGGCTCTCAATTGACCTCCGGTAGGAGTGTTTTAGATATTTTGATTGTTTGCAACCGTCTGTTATCAATATTTCAAAGTGAATCGTAATGGCAAGCCATTAAGAATAGTGGCCACATTGCAAACTTGAATGGTCTGCATCAAGGATAGGACAAAAAGCACATTACCCTAGTAACTAACGAGTGTCCAGTCAACGTACCCAATACAGTTCTGCAGGAGGTCAGTAGAGAGCCCGAACAGTTCAGTGGTAACTTCGTCTCTGACTGTAGCACTGGGTGATACAGGTTCAAATCTCAGAAGGGACACGATTTTCCTCTAGGTCGTAGATACGGCTTGCTGACTGGTGGTCAGTACCAACTGGCACGAAACCTAGGTCAGATTGAGCTTCCAACCGATTGCCTGCAACCATCTAGGATCAACAAGACTAGCACTCCTCCAGCAATTGCTGGTTTGAATCTTGTCTACGGTTTAGATTTTCACTTCATTTTCAGTTATCCTCTATTATATGATCCATGAGTAATATAGATAGTTTCACTATTTATTAATAAACACCTCTTTATTCTAGTTCACTATGATATGAATTAATATGAGAAACCTGCCTTATTAGGTAGTACTAAGACAGCTTCATACTGTCTGTGCTGATTGAAGTGAGTTGATGACGTGATGGAAAGTTGGATCTCGGTGCTCAGCTAAAAGAACGTCAGGCTAGTAGTCCCGTTGTTATTAATTAGAATGCTAATGCAAGGAGGATTTCCACTGAACTTTTCTTCATCAGTTATCACATTAATCTAAATTTTGATGTTTCAAGTTTTGAAATAATTGTTAAAACGAAGTGATTTAAAATCAGAGATGCACGCCTCCTCCTCCTCCTATTTGTGACTCATCAGATGGATGTACCTGCATTTCCCGATAAGCGATGGTGTCCTTGAATATCGATGAGGTGCTTACTAATGACTTGCCCTCTTCAGGTAGGTCCTATTCAGTTAGGACTCTACTGAAAAGTCGTGACCAGTGGGGTGCAGCAGCAGGTCGGGTGTAAGGACATTGGCTAGTGGTCGCGCTATGTCGTGAATCGGCAGAAGTTAGAATTCGTGAGTCATTGGATTGGATTCCAATGGCTTAATGGTCTACGAGCTCGCTAGCCTTGTAACCAGGAGGTCATGGGTTCGAACTGCGTACTGCTGAAAAGTCCCAAACTAGGATGAAACAGCTGTCCAGTACTCCTTGGTGGTCTACCAATGGTTCTCTAACCATTGTCAGCTCATGATGAAATCCTGTAACCAATCAAATCCCTACAAACCAACACTTGGATGGTGTTCTAGCTGAGACTCACTTAAGCCCCGAAAGCTACCCTTTTTGAAACGAATTTCATTCACTGTTTAATTTTAATTCAATTTTGATTTTTTTCTTTGATTGATTAAACTGAAATGTTAAACTTCTGTTGACAAGTCGGTTCCTGGTGCAGATGCTTCGATGATTCCAAAACCGGATGGGATGCGCATCCTAGATTTCACTTCAAATTAATCTTCGGACATCCTCGAAGTGTCTGCATAAGGAGCTGACGTGTCAAAAGACGCTGGAAATTCCTGTTCAATCAACCAACAGGGAAAACCGAACTGAATTAAAAATAATGTATTGACTATCAAATTGATAGAAGATTGCACAGGGTTGTAAACAATAATTTTCACGATAAATTGTACCAATATTTGGTGATGATCGGTGATTTTTAGTAAGAGAAAATCAAAGCCACTTTAAGGATTTATAGAAATCTGAGAAATCCATCTGAAAATCAGTTATACTTCACCCAACAAACCTACACATGCAAATCTCGTTTTGTGTCTGCTAATGTAGAAGTCAACAACTTTACGAATACCTCTATGTCGAATAAAGGATAGCAGTATGAGTGTTATTCATTTACTGAGTTTTAGGACTTTTCATTCTAATCTGAATCCAGTGCGTCGGTGGCACAGTGGTTAGTACGCTCGCCTACCATGTAGGTGGTTCAGGGTTCAAACTCCAGTCAACTCATAGCTTAATTCCTTACCTCGCTTAGTCAGTTATAAGACTGGTAAAGAGGGAAGATTAGGCATGGGGCTAGCAACCCAATCCCGCACAAAAATAATCCCCACTGCTACGGAAACTTTAAGCCTCTAGCTTTAAGCCCCATGTTCCAATGAAACAATAAGGAGATAAAAGAAATGTGTATCAGGTGGAATATAAGGCTTCAGATATTGAGATTTTAGAACATAAAAGACAAATTCAAGAAAAAAATTTCTTTATCGACAAAATCATCTTCACAGGCTGGCTGTACAGTCGTATTTATACTTAGAAAAATGTATTGTGGTCTATTATTGAGTGATAGGGGGTGACATAGTTGGTATAATTAATTATAAGTGGCTTTAGAAGTGAAAAGAATTAAAAGTTGTAAATTACATGGTACTTAATGGCACAAAGATAGAAGTTTGATAAGGTTAAAATTGGTATTGAGTGAGAATGAAGGTGGTAGTTGAGTGTCAATTTAACAAATGCGAAGAGGGTGTGAAATGTACAGATGGAGCATATGAGAGTGATCATAGTGAATTAATTATTAAAGCAAAAGCAAACTAAAAGTAAAAGAAAAAATTAAAAAAGAAAAGAAAAATCAAATTTTTTTTTACAGGGAGCGATTAGTGAAGAGAATAAGAGACTGGACAGCTTTTTCTGTATTCAGAGTTCAGGGTTGTATAGACTAATCGCCAGCGCCTACTCCATACACAAATGCAGAAACCTGACGCCTTTTCTACCATTTGGCTTCACTTTGTAGATGATGTTGAAAGACGACTCTGTTTGAGCTACGATGGCCTGAGCTCACTAAATGTTCGAGAATTGGGCTAGTGACTATCTTGCATTTTCCCTTTGCTAACCATGCCGGATAATGTTCAGAGATGCGTTTGGAATGTGTGCACTTTGTGTGGGGGGCCAATATAACTAACTCCACACGAGCAGGTGAATTCATAAACACACATTGAGGTGGCCCAAAGCGGCAGTTTATCCTTCACACATCCGTTGATCATTTGTCGGCTGTAGAAATTGATATGTTACCCAGGTGTTTTTCGTTCACACTTGGTGGAATTCTCAACCTGACTCTCAAATATCCGTCCAGGATTCATATCCTGACTAGTAATTAGCTCTATGTAAA